TGGCCAATCAGAGCACACCTCGCTTTTCAGACCGATGAGCTTTGTAAAATTCGACGCGTTAGGTGGGGCTTAGAGGAGCACCAATAATGTACATTAAGTGGAAAATAATGTGTTTTTGAACCTTAAACCGCATAAACACATTGCATTACACCAAATACACAACATAATGTTCTTTTTAGCAACGTCATATGACCCCTTTAAAGGTGCTAAGAGACTTCGTTGAATAGTACAATCATTTGCATATTGTTCTATATGAAAAATTACACAACAAGATGTTAGTCTAATTTCATGTATCAATATGATGTATATTATATACACCTTCATAAATGAACATTTAAACATATCTAAACAGTTATGAACTACCTTTACAAATTTAATCATATAAATAACTTAATATTCATATTACCACATGAACTTAGAATCAATGAAGTTGATGTTATTCAAAGAACTTTAAATTCCGTAACAGTATACAATATATAACAGTACATAACAGTAAGTAACAGTATACCAGTGTTATTTTACAATCATTCTGTCACTACTATAATTTAATTAATATATATATTCAGTTAAAATTTACAGTATTTGTGAGTAACATTTTTTATGCAGATACAGAATACAGTATACAGATGTTTACCTTTACAGCTGTACCTCCTTTCTGAGCCTTCTCCTTCTTATCACTGTCTCCACTGCCTGAAGCAGCTGCCCCTGTCCAAATACAAATGTGTGTTAACATCTTACAACTACAACTAAGAGAATACCTATCCATTTGTATGCAACTACACTTGATTTATTAAGCATTTTGAAATAACCATATAGCGAATCACACATTTGGCCACATTCCTCACGCATTTCACACTTTAACACATTTAGTTAAGATAAAACAGCCAGAAATGTTTCATTAACACTAGTTGCTCTTGTGAAAAACGAGACAAAATCGACAGAAATACAGCAGAGTGTAACAATGTTTACAATCTGTTAGCCACAAACACTGCAAGCTAGCTAGCATATCAGCATAAGCATTAGTGTAACAGTCACATTATATGCTATAAACTTCGATATGGTGTCATTTGATAGATTTTGTTCATGCAGCATCATATATTTGTTGTTTACCTTTAGCACCTTTGCCACCCTTTCCTTTTGGTGGCATTTTCTATCTCCTCGTGTCGGATAATGTGTTTGTTTCCACTTAAACCTTAGCTAGCACACAGGAGCTAGCAACTCAGATCCCCACGCGGTTAGACTGAAAATTACACAGCAGCTTCTTTCAGCCTACAGTTTTACGGTATACGTTATTTCAGTCTGTGTCGAGTGGTAAACGACACAGGCAAATGCAACAATTGGGCCAATGCAAAGAAATTATAGTATAACTGTTAATAACTGTCAATAACTTTGCGCATATATGAGTGGAAAGGACGCGCTTGAGTACACTGAAGAGACGCGAACAGTTTTTTCCCCCCGGTATTTTCACTCCAGTGACAATCGATTTTTTAATGGTGATGAACAATAGTTGGGTTAATATTTTTATTTATTTATTTTTTTTTGCATTTTAAATAAAACATTATAATAGTAGGATTGTCAATGACATTCTGCGCAAATGCGACCAGCAAGGATGCTCGTGAACAACCCAGCACCGCAGACCCTCATGATGACAGGATAAAATGTCAGGACACCGTCCCTCTTATGTAGCCTACTTTTGTGGAAATAAAATCATTAAAATGTTCAATGTTATCGGTTTTACGCATTTATATTTTAAATTACGCATGCATCACTCAAATTAAGCACGTAATTCGCCTTTAGGCAGCTATTGTTCGGAACGAATAAGATTCCCGTTTGTTGAGAAGCAGCTGTTGCCATAGTAACATGAAGACAACAAAGCCGCCGCCTTCTGCTCTTGACACACCGAGTGGCAACGACGCATTATCTTAAAAACACATAAATTAGATTAGTTTTTGTCAATAAGACATGATGACTCACAGGTAATAAAGATTTTAAAGATGTTTGTTTTCCAAAAATGTGTTTCACTATTCAGTTTGCAAGTTGATTTACTGAAGGCTCATATAATAACTCTTTTCCTACATATCTGGTGTTTTCTTTAGACAGACCATTTCTTATCCAGAAGATAAGTGGCCATAATCATATCCAGCTCTCAACGGGACAAATGAAATGTTCTTGCGACCAGCAAATGAATAAAGAAGATGTTTAGTGAATTGATAGTGTCATGGAGAAATATGATAAAGTCCTGACTCTTGGCAGAGGAGGAGCAGGTGTTGTGATGTTAATGAAACATGTCGATACAAAGAAATTATGTGCAGTCAAGAGAATACACGTGGACAGTTCCCGAAAAACAAAGAGCAAAGATGCTGTGTTGCAAGAGGCAGATATTCTCAGGAGCTTGAAGCATCCTCATATTATAACATGGATTGACACTTTCTTTGACACGACTAATGAGTAT